AAAAAAAAAAAAAAGAAAACATCCAGTTGCAAACCAACCAGCTAGTTATTTGAGGCTAATATCTATTTAACAGTTTTCTCTTTTTTGGGGGGGGGACAGAGTTTCACTTTGTTGCCCTCAGTAGAGTGTGGTGGCATCACAGCTCACAACAACCTCCAGCTCTTGGGCTAGGGCGATTCTCTTGCCTCAGCCTCCCAAGTGGCTGGGACTACAGGCGCTTGCCACAATGCCCAGCTATTTTTGTTGCATTTGCCACTGCTGTTTTATCTGGCCAGGGCCAGGTTTGAACCCCTAATCCTTGGTATATGGGGCTGGCGCCCTATCCCCTGAGCCACAGGTGCAGGCCACATTTAATCTCTTTTTAACAGAGTGAAGACTTCATTTCCCAAATCACTCCCCTGCACAACTACATCTGTGATTTAGTAACATTGTTTTGTTTTGCTTAATTTTTCTTTCTTTTTTTGGTAGGGTTAGGAATGAGAGTTTCACTGTTGCCCAGGCTGGTCTTGAATTCCTGGCCTCAAGCTATACTCACCCTCAGCCTCCCAAAGAACTAGATTATAGGGATCAGCCACCTCGCCTAGCTGTTCTATTTCGAGGTGTGTGTTTGCAATAATTCTTCCATTTCTACCAAGCAATGCAGGTTTCTCCATTAAGCAGAGAAGTAAATTTTCCTTTCTGAATGTATGTAAAAACTGAGAGTTCATATAAAGAAAGAAATGGAAAGATTATTTACTTACATAATGGTATATATATAGAATGCAGATATGGCAAAAATGATGATGCCTAGGCAACAAGGTGTTGGCCTTTAATTTCTTCTGTGACTTGTTGATTTTCCCTGATTGGTAAAATTCTTTGAGAGAGGATTCGTAACAGTTGAATTCCTTCTTGATTATCTGCTTTTAGTCTGATCAGGGGAATTCAGGAAAAGTCCCTTTGTACATTTATGGTTCCCCCAAATGCCCTCAGTTTGGAGCAATCGTCATACCAGTGTGGCACATATTTAGGGATGTTGGTTTCTGGGTTCCTTCAAAATATATTCCAAATTCATTTTTCACAGACATGGGAAAGACTCAAAGTGAAATAAATGATTTGCTCAAAGCCACAAAAAGAGTTGATGGCAAGGCTCGGCGCCTATAGCTCAACCGGCTAAGGCGCCAGCCATGTACACCTAAGGTGGCGGGTTCGAATCCCCAGCCCGGACCCGCCAAACAACAATGACGGCTGCAACCAAAAAATAGCCAGGCGTTGTGGCGGGCGCCTGTGGTCCCAGCTACTTGGGAGGCGGAGGCAGGAGACTCGCTTGAGCCCAGGAGTTGGAGGTTGCTGTGAGCTGTAATGCCATGGCACTCTACCCAGGGGGACAGCTTGAGGCTCTGTCTCAAAAAAAAAAAAAAAAAAAAAAAAAAGAGTTGATGGCAAAAGAAAAAGAATTACTCGAATTTCCTAATTCCTACCTCAGCTCTTCTATTTCACCAGACCCACCTCCCTTCACCATCCTTGCACACACACACCAATTCAAATCAGTTTGCTTCAGGCCCACTGAACTTTTCCAGTAGCCTTTAAAATTTTGCTTCTTCCTGTCTGGGTATTACTGAAATTGGCTGAAGACCACTAAGACTGTGATAATGCCCATAGATTCCACCAGGAGCACACCTGTAGTCAAAAAGAATTAGGTTTATGGGTGGGTGGGTTTGTGTAAAAAAAATAAAAAGAATTAAGCTTATTTAGCTTGTTCAGCAAGGAAGAATACACACCAGAGAAATCATGAAGTGTCTTAAAAGAGATAACTGAGATGAGTTTATTTTAGGATTTGAGTTTGTGAACTAAAAATCTTAGGGCTCCCCTTTCCAGCAGCAGAGTAAATGAACCCTTCTCCCTTGAGAGCCAAGAGAAAGGAGGTCATACTTGCCTCATCATGACCCTCTCCCTTCCTAAAGACATTGTTGTAACTCATTAAGAGATCCAAGGCTATGCAAAACAAACCTTCAGGTCCTCAATAAATTACAGATCTGACTACATATATGTCCTGTGGCTGGTCTCTAATTAACAGACCTTTAGCCTAAGCCAGTAATTTTCAACTGGCACTGCTGAAGTACACTGGTGTGCCTTGAGAGGACCTTAGGGGTATTGTGAAATTTTTGAAAGACCATTAATTAGATTATTTTCAAAGAAGTTCAAAGCACAGTAAGTACATTCTTTTTTTTACTCTTTTTTTTTTAAATCAACAGAATTTAAGTGTGCTGCAGATGTTGATAGGTTCAAGTGTGCCTTGAGATAAAAAAAAAAAAAAGTTGAAAAACACTGTCTTAAGCATTCCTTTCTCCTGACAAACCTAACTCTTTCATCAGTTGTCAGTGGAAGAATCCTTCCCTATGCCTACCTATGGTTTTTAAGCCCCCACTTTGAGATGTTCTATCTTTTGAGGCCAAAGCAATGTATGCCTTCCATTATCAATTTATGACTTTTACCTATTACTCCTGTCTCCTTGAAATGTATAAAACCAAACTGTAACCTAACCACAGTGAGTCTGCTTGCTCAAAGCTCTTGGGCATGGCTCTGGGCCTTGGTCTTCAACTTCAGCTCAGAATAAATCTCTTCAAATTATTCTATAGAGTTTGGCTTCTTTTCCATGGGCAGGTTTGTGCTGGGCAACTCTGAGGAGGGTTTAAGGAAGGGGGGAATAGTTTTGGATTGGGCACAGTCTTGGAGGGGGCATTCAGGGACTAGGTATCTTAATAATTTGCATTGAGGAGGTAGGAGGATTAAAACAAGGCTAGCACTTCTGTTAGTCAAAAGAGGAGGATGTTGAGTCACATTTGTGGTGCCAGTGGCCTTGTCTCTATCTTGTTCCTACTATAGAGTGGTTTTGTCTGATATTTATTTATATTCTGTGCTCATTGTTTATGTTCCCTTAGAAACGTTCATTGGGTGTAACTGCCAGCTGATCGGTTTTTCATTTTCTGGCCTACAAGCGTTTGTCCTCTCAAAAGTAAGATCCTGCCCTCTTAGTGTATCTAGCCCTAAGTGGTTAAATGTGTCTTTTCTAGTTGGCAGAAAAAGGTAAAACAGGTCTTTGAGATCATCTATTTTAATTTCAACCTCAGGTAGGAAACCCACTAGCTACATCTCTCCTAGAGTAGGGGACTCACTGCCACGCAGGCAGCTCCTCCCATCTGTGCATATCCATTGTCAAAATTACGTTGTTGTCCCCATATATGGTTTGAAATCATAATTACATGTACTTGGTTTAAAAATGCATAAAAGAGCCCACAGTCAACATGAAGTATCCTTCCATCTTAAACCTCCCATTCGCCCAT